CAGTCCCTCATGAAAAGTCCCTCTCCAGCATCCCTGTAGACCCCTTTCGACACTGGAAGGTTGCTATATACATAAATGTACATAATATATATAAATGTACATCCGGTTCTATTTGCAGTGCACGAGCCACAATCCCTGCTTTTGTACTAAGGCCTTAGCTCATGCCAAAGTAATGGGATTTTGCCTCAAATAGAACTGAGTTTTAAAAAATTCCTACAGAGACTTGAAGCCTTCTCCATCACTCACAGGAGAATGATCAGCCCATTATCTGTTACAAATACTTCTTTTGAAAAGAGCAGACTGATGATAGAATTTGTGGAGGCTGCTATACTATAGCTCACTTTCTCTTCCTGCAAAACAACATTTTTTCAGCACCTTGCAAATCACAGGCTTTTCACACAAGTATAAGGAGTGTAGGCTTGGTCTCCATTGTGCTTATGTCTTTCCGTTGCCTTTGGCTTTGCTGGAAGTGTCAAATGCCTGAGTACATGTTAGCTGCAGACCATGGTGCTCTCAACAGCACACTGTGAGCTCTGACTCAGGGGTCAGGACCATCACCTGGACATAAACAAGACCTGCTTCATACACCTTGTCACCATCCTGGGGTCCATCACTCTTCACTGGCCACACAAGCATGGCTCTAAGGGGCAGATTTTTCATAAGGTGCACATGCTTGTACAAACAAGGTATTTTTGTGATTGCTACAATGAAGACTTTCAAATGGTAACTGTGTACCCAGATAATAAACTTCATTTGATCATCTGCAAATGCACTTTATAGGTGAAAATCCGATCCTAAATTCCCAGTTATGTGATACTGTATTTTTTAATTAGTTCATTTAAGTTTTTACCCTCGCTTTCTGAGTCACTAAGTGTCACTTAATAAGACATACACTGCTATCACAGGCATGAACACATGAAGCACTACAAAAAGTAAATAGCTGCATTCTGGTGAATTTAGTCCTGAGATGAGAACAAAATATATCCTATAACCTATCCTAAATCTGAAGTAATTTAGAAAACACATATATTCCTTAAATCATAATCATAAAGCTAGATATATCTAATTGAACTGTCATCAAATACAAAACACTAAATTTCATAATTATAATAAAGTTTCCCTGGAGCTGAAGTCTGCAACCAGGAAAACCCAGATTCATTATGACACTGTCTAAAAAAATGTTCCGCCCAAGTAATTAGCCTCTTAAACATGCATTGTATCAGTCACACCTCAAAAACCTAGGGAATAACACTGAACTCGTGGTTTCCGGTGATGACCTCAGAGAGATTAAACAAAAGATATGCCTCTGGAAAAGAAATCACCTGCGAACACTAAGGAAAGTTTAGCATGTTTGTTTCGTACTAGAAAACAAAATCAGAAACAGAATAACTGTGCTGTAGCTATCAGCCTAATAATGGAAATTAAACTTGAAATAACTGTGGTGTCATGTATTATATAAAATGGTTGAGAATAATTTCTTCCTATTTAATCAAGGCTTATCAGCCAGTTTGGGCAGGGAGGGAGTAGAAAACAGAACACACTTTTTCAGTCCTGAGATCAGAAAGTCCCCTATTTTCAGGAATTATGTTTTGAAAAATTTCCTCAGACTTAGTGAAGTAATTGTCTTAACTTTCAAAATAGCTACTAGACTATCCTGAAGAATAAAGTTGGAATTTAGTCACAGCAGCTCGTAAAAGCTGTCAAAGATACCAAATGTTGGGCATGAGAAAAACTGCCCTCTGATTTCAAGTTCTTTTCAAATACCCAAACACTGATGTAGGGTTTTCGATACAAGAAAACAAAACCTATGTCAGCATTCTATATTCAACCCACTTGGCAAGCACTTAGGAAATATGACTTCTGCTTCTTTAACATGAATCACGATTAAGAGTTAAGGTCAAAATATCATCAAAATACTGTGCTTGTTTTGCCATCCGTATCAACAGGACTAGCTCGAAGTAACGACATTATAGCACAATTTCATTGATTGTTTAGAAGTCAGGCCACTTATAAATGTCTTATAGTCTACATTGTGTACTTTGTATCTAATGCTAATGAATATTTAAATATTTTAATGGAAAGGCTTAATTGTAAAATTAAGTGTCACACAGTAAGTCTCCTACTATTGGTTTTGAGACGAGTCCATAGTAAGTGTCACACGTATATAAGGATTCCTTAAACTTCAGGCAGATTACAAAACCAAGTTCAACTCCTGACTCCATATAGGGCAACCCAAAAATTAAATCATATATCTAAGAGCACTGTCCAAACACTGGAACACCAATCTGAAAATACATTATTATACACAAAGAGCATTTGTTTAATGGGAATCTATGGCACAATGGGCAACTTCACATTTTTTAAGTGAGAAACTGGCAGCTAGCAAAAATAGGGATCACTCTGAGATCTGAGGTAAAGTCATGCCAACTCAATTTAGAAATAATGCATATGTTTTGAACTGTGACGATCATTGACATAACCAGTAAGAAAAGCTATGCATTCTTTGCCATTTGTAGGAGGACTCATCTGACAGAGTGTAGAAGCTTACACTGTAGACATCCACATTTAGGCTAAGTCCATAAACTTCCCTTACAGACAACCGAGAAAACACACATTTTTAGGGCGTGATTCATCTCATCCTAGAGTAGACACCTAAACTAGGACAAGTTAAAGTAGACTTCTCTGAAAGTCCTTATTTCCATAGTTTTACAGGGTAGACATCCATGTGAGAGGAATACTAGCCTTACTAGATTTTAAATCAAATAAATGATTTAAATGATTTAAAATGCTATGAAAGACAAGCTTTTAAACACAATTTACCAGTCTAGGTACAAAGGTAACAACAACAGTCTATGATATCATCGTCCCTCCTGCCCTGAAATCTATTGCAGCTAAAATTGAATACAGGACAACTAGTACCCACTGAGGAGCTTCTCGGTACCTCTACTTTCAGCTTAAGTATGATGAACTGACCTTTTGCTTCTGAATTCTAAAGGGAGTTTATTAGTACTTTGGAAAATATTTGGTTATTCCTAGCATTTTATTCTCTGCAAGCGTTTTTCCTCTGCACTGTCTTTATAGTCTTTTTTTATAGGTTTTCTTATGCAGCCACTGAAATCAGGAGAAATTTTCTGAAAGAATTATGGGTGGTAATGAAAACTGTGACTCTCATAGTAAACCATACACCTTTGAAATTCCCCTACATTTGCAGCAGTCACTCAAAAGAATGTGAAAAGCTGGAGAAGATCTGGAAGACAGTTCTCCCAGCATGTGACAGTATAGCTAGAATGTATTAATCAGCTATAATCTGAAAAATAGACAAATCATCAAACAATCTAGGAAATCTATTTTAATAGGATTAAATTAACACCAGCTTGAAAACGCTGTCTTCTGGTATCTTCAGACATTTGTCTTTTAATGCTTACTTTGTGTTTGATGAATGTCCACAAGAAGCTTTAAAAAAAATTCTTCAAGATCCATAGTCCCAGACATTTTAGCAAGTTATTCTTTTGAATATGTGGACATTTTTCAATAATCGAGTGAGTATTCTATGTTGACATTAAAAAAAAAAAAAAAAATAATCAGCAGCATTGATGTATGAAATAAAAATATTTCATTCAGAATTCAATATATTTGCATTTGAATACTGTGCTTCCATACTATACTTCATGGAATTTCAAGCTTGGTTGCATTGCATCCACACTTTCCCTTCTGGGAAGAACAATTCATTTGGATTAAATCTTTCTTGATTCATCATACATAAAGAGTTCAAGGAATATAGTTCAAGATATGATCTAACTAGTAGAAAGAGAAGAGTTGCAACTCAGAAGTATAGAATCTTTTTTGCTTGCTCAAGGGGTATCACAGCAACATCCCTGAATACACATTTTTTTAAATTTTACCTCCTTTCTGTCAAAATAGTCATTCAACATTTGGAGAAAAAGAAAAAAAAAAGAAAAAAAAAAATCAACAGCATTTTGGAAGCAACCGTCATTTTTTAACAGACATGAGGAATTTCAGTTTACAAAGTGCATTTCAACTATGATGTAAATCATCCCATGGGAATTCTGTCTCATACAGTCTCATATGGCTTTTGTTACAGGCTTTAGACAGTGTTGAATAATTGTTCTACATAATACCCACATTTTCTTTGAAAACAAAAGAGAAGAAGAATTTAACCACAAACAGGAGTGAGTACACTTAATGAAAACAATGTGTAATCTAACCCTTGAAAAAGAAAGGCACATATATATATGTCCATGGTTTTTCTTCCCTGCTGAATCTCTGATCTAAACATTACCAATTTCAAATGCCAGAAGCTACAAAGTTGATATAAGATCAAGAGCAGCAGAACAGCAGTGGAACTTTAAAATGGTACAACAGGACATGTTGTTTTCCATCTCCTGCTACCTCCTATACCAGACTAGGAGAGGGAACTGGAGTGGCATGAGAAGGAAGCACATTACAACTGAGAAAAAGCAGGCAGTCTTATGCACTCTTTTATACAGGTCAATAACTATTTAGAAAAGAGGCATGTGGTCCCTTAGAGCCACAAAACTCTGAGTGCTCCTACGCTAGAGCTGAAGTTCAGATCAGGAGGCTACTTCCAAACTGAATTTCCCTATTGCCATTGCATACCGTATTTTGGCTTGTAGCATGGGACAGTCGTGGATCATGTGAATACTCTTCTCCCACTAAACTGAATTGGAGGAAGAACATGAGGAGTGCATCTAATGTCCTCCAGCAACAACCAGGCATTCAACACATATGACAAGGCGACAGCTAGTCTGGATGGTTTACTGTGCTTAATAAAGTAAGGCATAGCTTACAAGACTGTTGATGAGCACCAGTGAAATATATGTCCATAGAAAAAGACTCTGATACATTGATGCAATTTTAAATTCTCCTAGGAATAAACAGATTTCAACTGACAAAACATGATGCAATTAATCAGGTCTATATACCCCTGACTAGCTAAGAGGGAAGAGCAAAGGGGTTACCTTAATAGGGCTCCCATCCGGAGTAAGAACCTCTTCTGAAAGCTCCATCATCTTCAGTGCCATGAGGGCAATGGCTTTAGCGTGACTAAGGCTTTTCTTATGGAGCCCTGCTGCAACACAGTACGCATCACCTATTGTTTCCACCTGCAGCAATCAGACAAATCAAACGTTCAAGTATGATAATGAGAACCCTACCATTGCTTATCTGCAATCAAATAACATTGCTTAAAACATGTGAGCAAAACATGCATAAAATAAGCAATTAGACAATGGAGCATAATTACCTGAGTTTGCAAACAGGTGTAGTTAAAACCTGACATGTCACTGCACAGTGGTTCATCACCACTGTAACTGAAGATCATTACATCTAGAACAGCGTATGCCATCAGCTGAGAGATGACATTTTCCCATAGCAGTAATACTGAAAACTCTATTTTCCTAAATGAGAAACTGCTTACAGCTTTCTTTGACACCATCCTGGCTGAGTTTGCTGTTGGGTAAGAATAGCACTACATGATTATAATTCATAATTATTATTTGCTCTGCTAGAAAATTATATCAGGAAGAGAATTAGAAAAAGCAAAACACCACCATAAAAAACACTGAAGAGTCTATAACTTCTCATTAGCAGGTAGCTCTTCCTGGTATAGGGGTAATTTACAAATAAATAGATGCTACTGCTACAGACTTTTGACTGCAGCTGTCTGTTATTTTCAAATAAGAACTGTGGCCTCTCTCTACTGTGCAGGCTACCTGACTGAATTCCCTACCTTCAGGCATCAAGTTCAGCAGAATGATCCCCCTGGGTCTTTTCAGACAGGCCTTATCTCTCTCATCCTTTATTCCTTTGAAGAAAGCTGTCCCTCAGGAGGAAGCGAAAGCAAAAGAAATTACAGAAGCCCACTGGATCTGGTTAAAGGCAGCCTGAGAAACACCGGAGCCCTCAAGTTCTGCAGCTTTATTAACTGAGTTGTTTTGCACTCTGTTTGCCCACATAGCTGTAACATGCTCTGCACACAGTCTGTTAACACATGCCCAAGCAGTCTCAGTCCTCAAGGATTAGTTTTGATTTTGCTTTGTAACTAATCTGGCTTTCACCCTGCCCACAACACTGTAGGAATGGCAGAAACGGCGTCAGCAAAGACTAGAGTGAGAAGAAAGCATGCACCGAGGAAGGAGTTGTTCAGGGAGTAAACACAGCTCCTCCTTCTCTCTGCAGGGATTCTACTAATAGTAGATATGGTTCTTCTCAGATTAATTTCCAGAACTGGAAATAGTATCTCAAATAGTAAGCATTACAGGTAAATGTACCTAGAGCATGAACCTAGAACAGCAGTATGAGCAAATATTTCCCACCATCAAACCTACAGAACCTGCTACTAGTTCATTGCCAAGTTTGACACCTTATCCTTTCCTGCTGACTGTGCAGGAGGATATAGAAAAGAAGCTGAGTGTTTCTCATGAGCTGAGAGCTGAGACAGCTGTTAGCACTCCCTCAACACTTCTGGAAGCTCCTCATAGTACTTGTATGTAGAAAAAACATACAGGAGCAATCAATACTGCTGCCTGCCTCCTGTTTTATGCATGCCATATCTCACGATTTCTGTCCACAAGAAGCAGGGTTGCCAACTCCCTGCAGTTTAGGAGGTTGTCTTTCCAAAGACAAATGGATGGGCAAGTATATTGCAATGGCTGGTGAAAAATGTAGAACTAGGGAAGAAGATGCAGAGGCATAGTGAGAAAAAGTATCAGAAGTTAAAAAGACACCCTGGATGGCTAAGAAATAGATGCTAAAAAAATCTCTAAATCAGAAGGAAGAATACTGGAAATCTATTGTCATTCTTGAAAATTGTGGATGAACATAACCAGTTTGAATAGAAATAAAGCAGTTACTACAAAAAGAGCTTAGTCTATAATGTTGAATACAAACTTTAAATACAAATTCTGATCTTTGTTGAATAATTTAATTTCAGAATGACTTTTCCACTAAAGTTAGTTGTATTACACCACTGTAAGCAAGTACAGATCTGGGACCATATCATGTTCCTGAAATGTTCATGCAAACCAACTTATTTTGTTAGCTTATTCCCATTTGGAAATTTCCATAGCTGTGTAAACTAATTTAACAGCAATTTGCACACACTGAATGAGTAACATGATTGAAGTTTCACCAGAAAAATGGGACCAAAGCTGCCTCATGTTATCTTACTTTAAAGTGCTTGTCCCTATGAAGTTCCTCTGACAGTAACACTCAAAAACCAGGGGAATGATTAGGACTGTTGAGACCAACCTGGTAGCTGAAACTGGACGTGATGACAACTGATAAGGCTGTCTAATGGTTTACTATTCTGTGACCCTGTTTTCAGTCATTACTAAGAGATTTCCCAACTAAGCATTTAAGCTGAAATTTCCATGATGAGTCTCTCTATCAAACTTTAGTCTTGGTTCAGTCCTCCTTCAAAATCAGATTTGACAAATTTTCCAATTTTTTCCACAACTGCTTTTCGAGATGTCTCTCTCTGCCCTTCTTATAAGCCCACTTTATATATTGGAAGGCCACAATAAGGTCTTCCTGGAGCCTTTTCTTCTCCAGGTTTAACAATCCCAACTCTCAGCGTTCCCTCACAGGAGAGGTGCTCCGTCCTGCTGATCAGTGCTATGGCTCTCCTCTGGAACTACTCTATCAGATCCATGTTTGTCTTGTACTGGGAACACAAGAGCTGGAAGCAGTACTCCAAGTAGGGTCCCACCAGAGCAGAGTAGAGGGGGAGAATCACCTCCCTCAACCTGCTGGTCATATTTCTTTTTATGCAGTCCAGAATGTGGTTGGCTTTCTGGGCTGCAAGTATACATTGTCATCTCATGTCTAATTTTTTTATCTATCAATATCCCCAAGTCCTTCTCTGCAGGGCTGCTCTTAACCCATTCATACCCCTATCTGTGTTGATATCGGTATTAGGCTAACCCAGATGCAGGACCTTGCATTTGGCCTTGTTGAATTTCATGAGGTTACATAGGACATCAAAATAGAAACAGCAATAAGAGCAATACAGAATTTCATTGCACTTCAGAATTTCAGGCTGGGCCTGTCAGTGAGTTAGATGTGCAAATGGGAGAAGGGGATTTCTCACATCTTGGCTGAGGAGCAATAATTGGACCAGAAAAACAGAGCACTGTTGATAGCTCACTCCCAATTATCTTCTGAGTATGATCCTGGAATCACTGTGCACACCAGAGAGCAACTTAATCCATAAATATTCAAGTAAATGTCAGTGGGATTAAGAGAAAAGGAATGTACTAACCAAAGGTGGCTAAAAATAGCAGCAGTCAGATCTGTTTGATGCTCTTCAAGATGATGATATATAGTAATGAAACTCCAGAGGAAATCTTTACTATGTGATAAACTAAGTTCTGAGGGTTTGACATTGCAATGTGACTATTAAAGTGCATTATTAGTGGTATATTTGATTTTTATATCCTTCCTGGATACGTATGCAGGAAAAGGTATTTTGCTCTAAGATTGGAAGACACCCTGCTTCTTTTTAAAAAAATACATGTTGTTTTGAATATTTCAGCATTTTTGTATATGATCGACAGTTTTGCCTTTATTAAGATTTAGTACATTTTTGCTCGAGTTAAATAATTGTTTCTTACTGGTCTTAATATCTGTAGCCACTCACTGATAGCTTGACATATTCCTACATACTTTTCGTCCCCTTTCGCTGATTTACCACGTCCAGGTTCACTAGAGCTTTCATTAATTGGCAATTAATACATAGCACTGTTGAAGGGAAGTGAGGATGAACTCAGATTTCAAAATTAGAACAATCTATTGAAATATATAGAATGTAACTTTTATTCTTCATCAACAAACAAGTCAGGAAAAGCTGCTGCTACTTACGCTGCTACAGAAAGGCTTTCTCTAGAGCCTTCTATAAACCCATGCAAAGCCATTGGAAAAGCCCAAAAGATTTTCAGTCAGGCCCTCAACAAACAAAATATTAATAGTCATAATTAAGTGAAATAGTTGTGCGTACTCTACCATTCAGAAAAAGCTTCTTGGTAGAAATCCTGAGACTGCTGAATACTGTGAAGTGACAATGCTTAAGACTTGCAGCAGGAAGCAAAATACCTTCTACTTTTGGGAAGTCATTTTCTACCTACCCAACTTCTGTTAGTCCTCAGTAGATACCATATGTTTCTTTTAGACATGAACAGTCTTATTATAGAAGCTTAAATCTGTAGTTATTGTATTACAGACACATTCTTATTTTATACCAATTTTAGGTGGAATATGACTTTCAGATAAATCTGGTAGTCAGAATATAATTTCTCCATTTCTAATGTGTCTAGAGAACAGAGGTTAATAAACTTTCCCCTGGGCAGCTCCAAAAGGTCTCTTCTAACTACCAGTAGCTAAACCTTGTGTTGTGTTATGCTACTTAACTGAGAAACTGGAAGTTGTTGCTCAGTGATGTTCTCCAGGTATAAAGTCAGGGTTTTGATTCAGTGACAGTTTAGAAGAGAAAATGTGGTGTACTGAAATAACATCACTGCTTCTTTACCCTTCCTTATGAATGCATGAATATGCACCAGTCATTATGTATATGAACCTCCAGAAGTAATGAAGGAACTGAAGTATCGCACTTCATTTCTTAGGGTTACACACACATGGGGAAATACCATTTTGTAAGTGAAACCTTCAATGGCAAATTTAAAGATACTTGTCAAAAATGTTCAGGAATCCTAGCAGTCTCAGGAATCTTGCTAGCACCTTTGTCAAAGCACAACTTGCAAATAAACACAAAAAAGTGTAATCATGGGGGTCAATCTTGTCGCAATTCCTTCAGCCATCAGAAACACTACGTCACTGGAAGAAGTCGCTGGAGGGAGAACTGCCTCTAGTTTTAGACCTGTCTCTTTCAGCAGGTTTCCTGTAAAAGCCTAATACATAATTTGTATTATAACTGTTACACTGGAACACTCATTACTATTACCTTTTCTTTTTTTTTTTCTCTCCGTAAGTCATAGATGTGTTTGTGGGTTGTTCCTTCTTTAATGGGTTAAATTATATTAATCTCAAGAAAGCTTCTTTGCTTATGATCAAATCTAAATATGTAAAAAAAACCCCAAAGGGTTTGAAA